CCGAGGCGCCGCTTGCGCCGCGACTCCAGGAGGGCTACCAGCGCATTGTGCAGGTGGCCGAGCGCGTGTCGACGGTGCAGATCGCGCACCAAATCAACACCGAGGAGGACGCGTCTGCGCTCAAGACGGGGCTCGTGCACGTCGTGTACGAGTGGGCGCGCGGCACCAACTTCCAGGAGATCATGCAGCTCACCGACATCGGCGAGGGCACCATCGTGCGGTGCATCACGCGCCTCGACGAGACGTTCCGCGAGCTGCGCGACGCCTCGCGCGTGATTGGCGACATGGATCTGCTCCAAAAGATGGAGACGTGCCAGCAGCTGATCCGCCGAGATATTGTGTTTGCTGCGAGTCTCTACTTTTAGGTTCTGTAGCGCAAATCAACTGCCCATGTATGGCGTCGTCTCGGTCGTCGCCGCGGGGCTCGTGGTGGGGTTCATACTGGTGAGCGCCGTCGGCGCGCCGCGCCGCGAGTCGCGCTTGACGGGCGGCGGCGTGGGTGCGGAATTTTGGGCATAGGACGCGAGCCACTCCTGTGTCGGGCTCGTGGGGCGCGACGACGGCGTCCACGGCGGAAGCCGCGCGCCCTGTGGCACCGTGTCGACCCACGCACCTGGCGCGGTCGGTGCACCCTCGAGGAAGCGCTCCTCGGCCTCGACAAGGTGCTCGGTGGTCTCGCCGCAGTTGCACATGTCGTGGCTCTCGCCGACACGCGGCGGCAGATTCGACACGGCCCACGGCGTGCCCGCTGGGAGGTTGCGCGGCGCAGAGCGGTCGCCCGACATCACCGTGCCGGAGCGCGAGCGGGGCCTCGTGTCGTTCGGGCGGTGTACGGCGACGACGGGGGTCGATGTGCCGCTCCCCTCGTGGTGCGCTGGGGGCGGCGAGGATGGGCGCGAGGCGGGGCGCGACGATGTACGCGACGATGGCCGGGAGCGTCCGAAGCCGAAGCGTGTCGGCGACGTGTCGCGACTCGCGGCACGCGACGAGCCGTGCGAGCGGATCTTGGTCGCGGACAGCGAGTTGGTGAGCGAGTGCAAGAACCGGTTCCAGTCCGGCTCGGTGGACAGCGCACCGCCGGTCATCGGGGGCGGCGTGCGTGCGCTGCTGCCGCCGCTCCCGCTCGGCGGCGTGCGCGTTGCGGTGCCGGTGAGCGTGGTGAGCGGCGTAAACGTCTCGGAACGCCGCCCGTGCTGCAGCGGCGATGGCGGCCGAGAGATGGCCGGCGACTCTTGCGAGTATGGCGGGAGGTGGATGGCGTCAAAGGTGAATGCACACGACGGGATCGTCACCGCCTTGGCCACGGAGAACACCTGCACCTTGGGCTGGCCGTACAAGTCGCTATCCGGCCGCTGGTCGAGCACGTCGGTGCGCGAGAAGAGCACCTCGACGCCCATCTCGTGCGAGATGCGGATGTCGGTGCGTGTGCCGCGCGCCGTGGTCGGCCGCAGGCGGTTGTCGTCCGGCAGGCGCACCACCGACTTGATCCGGTAGCCATACCGCCCCGCATCGGGGATCTCGCTCAGCGGCCGCTCATCCACCTGCAGCGACTCGGCGAGCGGCTGGACGGTGGGGTAGACGTGCATCGCCGCATTGCCCAGGCGCCGCCCTGGCTGGACGCCCGCGGCGCTCAGCACGCCCTGCGCCCACAGCGCCGGCGTGGTGACGGCGCCCGCGTTGGTGCCGAGGCGCGGCAGGCTCCCCACCTCCCACACCTTGAGTTTCTCGGGCGGCGGGGAGACGTTGGATTGCGTGCGGTGATTGTAGATCTCGTAGCGCTGCTCGATAAACACACGCACCATGTGCACGTTGACGTTCGGCGGCGGCTTGGGGTGCACGACCGCCAGCGCCGCAATGCCGCCGACCGTGATCGAGGCGCTCGTCAGGCCGATCGAGATCAGGCCCAGCGCGTCGTGCATGTCGTGGAAGTGCATCTCGACCGGGAGCGGCCCGCCGTCGGTCGTGTGCTGCTGCACGACAAATACCTCGCGCTGCGCGACCACGGTAGAGCCGTTGCGTCCGGCGCCCGGCACACTCGCTGTGATCAGGTAGCGCGTGCGCCCATACCGGCACCGCTCGTACGGCGCTGCCCACGCGGGGATGATAAAGTGGAACTCAAAGTCGTGGAAGCCGCGCTCGAGGAACATGGAGCTCGCGCCGCTGCCGGCCTCAGTTTCGCTCGCGTGCGTCTTGTCGCGCACACGGTCCTTGAGCGAGCGCGCGCGCGTGGGATGGTCGTGCACTGTGTGCCCGTCCTTCCCGGGTATCTGGTAGCGGAGCGTGCGATCGAGCACCACATGCTCTTCCCACCGCAGCTGGCCGCGCTCCTTGCTGCTCGTACTCGGCGTATCTGGCGGGATCCCCACGATCTGCGTGCCGCGCAGATGGATCTGCACACCGTGGACCATCCGGTCGCTCTGCGGTCAGACAACACACGTACGGGGCACTCGATCTCCACGACACCATCCAGCATCTTGTCCTGTGTGGGCACATTCGTGGCCGTCGGTGGACATGTCCACACGATGTCGCTCGTGAGGTGCAAAAGCACCTCACACGACGGGCCCGAGGATCCGCCGACCATGACAGGCTTGGCAGAAAGTTAAAGGGCGCACGGCGCTGCGCCGACCTGTGTGACTGGCTCCCGGCGCCCGCACGCCCCAGCAAAAATTCGCATACTTCCCAGGCGAACAGGTACGCCATGGCCTCGCGCGCCGAGCGCGACACGGGGCCGATGCTCCTCATCGGCGCGCCCTGTTTCGCGTGCCGGCGCGAAGAGTTCCTCCCGCTGATGTGCCAGGCATGCCAGCACAAATTCTGCGCCGACCACGCCACGCCTGACGCACACGCGTGCCCGCAAGGCGTGCGGGAATTTTTCGCGCCGCTGTGCCCTCTTTGTCGCGAGCCGCCCCGCGGCTGGGTGCGCGGCGCATCGCCCCAGGAGACGCAGCGCCAGCTCCAGCGGCACTGGGCTGCGCCGTCCGTTGCCCTTGGTGGATGTAAGGTTGTACTCGCCGAAGATGGCGAGCAGGCCGTACGGCCCGCGACACGCCAGTGTGCCGCCCCTACGTGTACTACGGTGCTCCATGTCGCGATCGAGTGCCCCCAATGCCACGCGCGGTTTTGCACCAAGCACCGCGCGCAGCAGCAGCATGACTGTGCCGCATGCGCATCGACCCCATCCGTGCGCGGTCGCACCGACGCACCGCGCGGCGCCCTTCCTAGCCTCCGAGACAAGATCCATGCCGCGGGGAACGCCGGCCGCGCAAAGCTGGCGGCCGTATCGATACCCTCAGGCGCCAGTGCGCCCCCCCTGGACGCGCCGTCGCCGCCGCCATCGGCTGCGCCGCCCGCTGCACGGGCCTCGCGCGCCACTCAGCGCCGCGCCGCCGAAGAGCGCCGCTCGGCCATCCGCGCGATGCAGGCGCGGCATGCGCGCGGCCTGCTGTCCGAGTCTGAGCAACTCGTGCTTGCCCAAAAAATGGCCGAGGACGCCGCCGCGGCGCACGCGCCATCACGGCCGGGGTGCCCCGTAGCGTAAAAGCCACGTGGGGCTCGGCGCCGCGCTCTTCCCTAGCCTTCATAGACCATGTCTGACGCTGGGCATCGACCCTTGACGGGTGGCTCGCGCGCTGCGCGTGGCGACTCCCAGGTGCAGCGCCTGGGTAATATTCTGACGGGTAGGTTGTACTGATCTGACGCAGTTTTGTCCTTGGTGTTTTTCGTGATCTCCATGCTTGCTTCGCTGGGTGGGGTACCTGGGTAGGTTGTTTCGCCATGTGCTTACCCCACAGCTCGGTGCCGAACTCGATGGCGTCGCGTGTCGCACGCAGCGGCGCCTGCAGCTCGTTTACGAAGCCGGGCTACGTCGCGCACGATCCTTACCCCGTGTGGAAGTCGTTTGACGAGTCGTGCGAATCCCCGCGTTTGTTTGCGCACCTACTCACCGCCGTGCCTACTGCGAGTGCGGGTCCAGTGGCCACGAACCGCCCTGTGACCATGTCGGCGCAGGACCGGCAGGAGCTAGAGCGTGTGCTGCAGAACCGCACGGTGCTGCTCGTCGGTGACGCCTTGGACCGTGCTATGGTGCAGAACCTGTGCACGATGCTCGGCACCTCGAGCGTCAGCGTCACGGCCGACCACGCATTCGGCGGTGCGCTCAAGAATGTCGACAGCGAGACGCCGCCGGGAGACACGCTGCTGGCCGACTACTGCTACATCGACCAGTTTGACGCGCTTTTCACCTCGTTCTACCACTACGGTACTGAGACATCCAATGTCTGGCACAAGCAGCCGACGTACTACCCCCCGCAACGCTTCGAGGCGCGCATGGAGGAGCTGCTGAGCGTTTACCTGCAGTCGCTCAAGGCGCCCCGCTCTGTCGCTTCGCTGCCTCTCCGCCGCAACGGCGTGGACCTTGCCGTGTTTTCGTCGGGCCTGTGGGACCTGGCGACGTGGGCCATGGAGGACGCGCAGATGGGCCTCGTTACCTCGCAGGACCTCACGGAGCAGCGCATTAAAAACTGGCGCGCGCGCACCGTTGACATGATTACGTCGCTGCAAAAGACGGTCGGCAACGCGCGCGTTGCGTGGCGCAGCCTGCCGCTCCCGGCGCCGGACGCACACGGCTCGGTGCGTGCACTGCTCGAGAGCCTGCGTGCGTCGTTCAAGCCGACCGACGACTCGAACGACCGTCCGTTTGTGTACGCCAACCGCGTGGCACAGCTCAACAACGCGCGCACCGCGTCGCTCTACCTCGACGGCCGCGACACGGTGCGTGGCACCAACGGGCGGCTGTGGTCGTCGCAGGTGCACCCCCAGCTTGGCGATATCCCCCTGGCGGAGATCACGCTGGGCCAGGAGTCGCCTGCGCCACACACTGTGTTTAACGTGGGCCTTGTGCCCGACGCGATGCTGTTCTGGGACGCGGTGCTTGCCGAGCTGCGTATGGCCGTAGCCTAGACTCCAAAACGCGTTCCTTCCGACCGTAGCAGGGATCTTGCGGCCGAGTAGCAAAGTGGTTACTGCGACGGCTTTAGGTTGCCTTTCACGCCGTTATTCGTGGGTTCGATCCCCACCTTGGTCATTTCTTTTTCCCCCCGCCCGGTCCCGTTTGCTTAGTCAGCTTGCGCACGACCCGCCACCGGTGGAGTGCGCGTGCGCGGAGGTTGGAAGAGCGCCGCTGTGATGTCGCGGTACGCCGATCAGCTGCTGGGTAGCGCGACGCGCCCCTTTGATCGCGACAAGACCGAGCAGGAGCTCGTGGTGCATCTGAAAAAGGCGACGAGCCCTGAAGAGACTGCGCCGAAGCAAAAGCATGTCCGGAGTACGTCGCGCTGGCTCACGCAGAATGCATTGTGTACACCTGGGACCACAAGTCGTCCCTGTCGGTGTGGTCGGGTCTGCGTGTGCTGCCCATCCTGAACGATGAAGTACAGACGTTCAAGGCGCTGATCCTGGTGCACAAGGTGCTCCAGGAGGGCCACCCGATTGTCCTGCGCGAGGCGCAGTCGCAAAGCAACTGGCTTGATACGTGCGCGCGTATGTCGGGCAACTCGGTGCGCCGTGGCTATGGCACACTGATCTCTGCGTACGTGTCATTCATCAATGCGAAGCTGCGCTTCCACCGCATCCACAAGGAATTCAACGGCCTGTTTGAGTACGAGGAGTACATCTCGCTGAAGAACATTGATAACCCCGACGAGGGCTACGAGACGATCATTGAGCTGATGAACCTGCAGGATCGGATTGAGCGCTTCCAGAAGCAGGTGTTCTCGTCGCTGCAGGGCCGCGTGAACAACGAGTGCCAGATTTCGTCGCTGGTGCCACTTGTGAAGGAGTCGTACGGCATCTACAAGTTCCTCACGTCGATGCTCCGTGCGATGCACCGCCGCACGGATGCGATGGATGCGCTCGAGCCGCTGCGTGGGCGCTACAACGAGCAGCACCACGAGCTGCGCCGCTTCTACTTTGAGTGTGCGTCGCTCAAGTTCCTCACGAGCCTGATCAATGTGCCCAAGCTCAACACCGATCCGCCGAGTCTGCTTGCCCCGCCGCCGGACGTGCCGGCGCTCCCGCCGCGCGAGGCGCCGCGCGCAGAGACGCCGCCGCCCGCCGAGCCGACGGCGACGCAGGACGAGATCGACCAGCAGGCGCGCATGCTCAAAGAGTACGAGGACAAGCAGCGTGCGCTTAAGGAGTCGGAGGCCGCCGAGCAGCGGCGCCTGATGGAGCGTGCCGCCGAGCAGGAGCGCGCGTTCCAGGCGCAGCAGGCCGAGCAGGCCGAGCAGCAGCGCGCGGCGCAGGAGCAGCTGATGCGGTCGCAGCAGATGAACCACATCCACGGCCGGGTTGCCGAGATGGAGCGTGAGCTGCTCCTGATGCGCGGACAGTACGAGCGGGACCAGCTGATGCTCCAACAGTACGACGGGCGTGTGCGCCAGCTCGAGACGGAGCTGGCGGCGATCAATGCGAATACATCCGCACAGATGGCGTCCAAGGACGAGATGGTGGCCCAGCTGCAGGAGCAGGCCGAGACGTGGCGCAGCAAGTACGAGGCACTGGCGAAGCTCTACTCGCAGCTGCGCAAGGAGCACCTCGACCTGCTCGCCAAGTACAAGCAGGTGCAGCTGAAGGCAGGCAGCGCGCAGGAGTCGATCAACAAGATGGAGCGCATGGAGCGCGATGTCAAGGCCAAGAACCTCGAGCTGTCCGACATGATCCGCGAGCGCGACCGTGCACGGCTCGAGCTTGACCGGCTGCGCGGCGGCCAGAAGGAGGAGGTGGAGCGCCTCAAGCGCGAGCTGCGCTTTGCCGAGGAGCGCGCCGAGGACGCAGCACAGGCTCGCGGCTCGGAGGTGTCGCAGATCATGTCGCGCATGAATGCGCAGATCGCCGAGCTCGAGGAGGAGCTGCGCTCGCACAAGGGCCAGCTGGAGGCGAAGGACGCCGAGCTGCTCATCGTGCAGGAGGGCATGGACTCGACGATCCGCGAGCTGAACGACCTGCGCCTCGACCGCGGCGTGAACGACGACGCAGTCAACGCGCAGATCGACACGGTGATCCTTGACAACGCCAAGAAGCTCAGTACGATCATCGACTCGATCCTGCAGGCGTGCGCGGACAAGATCGACGAGGCGCTGTACGGCCTCGAGGCGCCGACCGCCTCGGGCAACACCGCCGCGACGCCCGAGTACGTCCTGTCGATGATCGAAAAGGGCCAGGCGTCCGCGAACGAGTTTGCCGCCGTCTTTTCGCTGCACCTCGAGCAGCAGGCGGGCGGCGACCACGTCGATGTGATCCGCACCGCCAACCAGCTCGCACAGGCTGCTGCCGAGACGCTCACGTCGTACAAGGGCATCCTGCGCTTCGCCCGTGACGAGGACTCGATGGAGCGGCTCACGAACCTCGGCATCGATGTCGGCGGCGTGCTGCTGCGTGTGTTCCTCAACCTGCAGTCCTTCCGCCTGGCCGGCATGAGCCCGGCGCAGCGTGCCAACGTGGCGACGCAACAAAACGTGCAGGCGAACCAGGCGTTTGGGCGCCTCGCCGACGCCGCGCAGTCGCTCATCGCCGCCGGGCAGCAGATCAAGGCGAGCGGCGACATTGGTGACATGGTAGAGCGCGAGATGCTCGGTGCTGCGCACACCATCGAGCAGGCCACGCAGCGGCTCCAGGCGCTGCTTTCGCGCGAAAAGTCGGGCTCGCGCTTCTCGACCACCGAGCTGCAGGTGCACGACACGATCCTCGAGGCGGCGCTCGCCATCATGCGTGCCATCGGCGGCCTGATCCGCGCCGCAACCGAGAGCCAGGAAGAGATTGTGGCCCGCGGGCGCGGCACGAGCACCGTGCAGCAGTTCTACAAGAAGCACAACCGCTGGACCGAGGGCCTGATCTCGGCGGCACGTGCGGTTGCCTTTGCATCGACCATGCTCATCGAGGCCGCCGACGGTGTCATCATGGGCTCGCACAGCCTCGAGCAGCTGATCGTCGCGTCGAACGAGGTGAGCGCCGCGACGGTGCAGCTCGTTGCGGCGTCGCGCGTCAAGGCCGAGTTCATGTCCAAAACGCAGGACCGCCTGGAGCGTGCGGCCAAGGCGGTGACGGACGCGTGCCGCGCCCTGGTGCGCCAGGTGCGCACCATCACCGACCGGCAGTCCGACACGGGTGACATGGACTACTCGCGGATGCCGACGCACGAATTCAAGGTGCGCGAGATGGAGCAGCAGGTCGAGGTGCTCAAGCTCGAGAAGGAGCTCATGCAGGCGCGTCGCGTGCTCGGCGCGATGCGCCGCGCGGGCTACCATGCGACGGAGGACGACCTGTAGTAACGTAGAAAGGAGAGTGGCGAAGCACCCTGCGGCGGCCCGCGGCCCGCTTCCGAGGCTCGGCGGGGCGCGCGGCGCGGTTGTTGCGTACCGAGCACGGCCTGTCCTATCCGTTGCACAATGGGTGAAGCTAGCATGATTTCTACGAACTGCCCTGCACCTCTGCGACGAACGCACGCGCGCGGTCGAGCACGGCTTGCACACCACGTGCGTCGCCGATGCGCTTCTCGAGCACGAGCCACTTCTGCAGCAGCGCCTTGGTCTGCTTCGTGGAGTTGTGGCGCGAGGTCATGGCGCGCTCCATCAGCATGCGCACACCCGAGATGTTCTCGAGCCGGGCTTCCTGGTCGATGTACTGCCACCACAGGTCCAGGCGCTTGGGGTACCGCTCCACGAGCGTCTCGAACAGCGTCCGTGCATGCTCGACGTCGCCCATTTTGTACTCCGACAGGGTATACGCCGTGAGCGCCTTGATGTGCTTGCGGCGCTCGAGACTCTGCAGGCTGCGCGGCACGAGGGCGTGCGCATCGTCCGGCCGGTTGTGGCGCAGGTAGAACTGGTACCATTGCACCCACACATCCGTGCTGAACCCAAACTTCTTCGCAGCGCGACGGAACAGTTCGGCGGCCTCATCGACCTTGCCGGACTGCTCGTAGATCGAGATCAGGCGCAGATGCACCTCCAGGGGGTTGTTCATCTGGGTTGCCTCGCGGAAGACAGAAGAGAGCGTGTCGGGCGTGCCGTACATGTTCTCGAGGTTCATCAGCGCGATCCACACGTTGAGCTTCTCCTGCTCCTCGCGGTAGTTGATCGTCTGGATCGCACGCCGGGCGACCTGTCGCGCCTTGTCGACGTCACCGAGCTGCAGATGGAAGCCCATGAACTGGATCCAGAGGTAGGAGCTGTTGGGCGAGCCGAGGAGCAGGCGCTCAAAGTCGGTCGACGACTCCAGCTTCTTGGTGTCCAAGTCGGCCGTGATGTCCTCACTGACTTTGGCACCCGTGCGCCGCTTCGGCGCCGCCTCTTCGTCGTCACTCGAGTCCTCCTCCATGCCCATAGGCGCAGACGCATCCCAACGGATGCCATCCTGCAGCGACATGCTGGGCCGGGCAGGCGAAGCGTCGCCGGACTCGGATTCAGACGCATCAGATGCCGCATCGCGGCCCTGGTCCTCATCTTCATCCTCATCTTCATCCTCGTCCTCGTCCTCGTCCTCGTCCTCGTCATTGATGAAGCCATCGTCATCGTCATCTTCGTCCTCGTCCTCGTCCTCTTCCTCACTCTCCTCTTCATCGTCATCGCTCACTTCGGCTTCATCGTCCAGAAGCTTGGCCGTATCGATCTCTCCATCGAGGTCGTCGTCGTCGTCTTCGTCGACCTCGTCTTCGTCTTCGTCGTCATCCACCTCATCCTCGTCGTCCTCCTCGTCGTCCTCCTCGTCGTCCTCCTCTTCGTCATCGTCGGCATCCAACGCGCGGTCGACGTCGTCCTCGTCGTACTCGTCGTCATCGTCCATCGCGTCGTAGTCCGCCTCGTCAAAGTACGACGGCTTCAGTCCAAACGAGATGCGGCCCTTGTCGGCATCCACCTTGAGCACGACGGCTTTGACGCGGTCGCCCACGTCAAAGGCACGCACGGCGTCCGCGTTGGGGTTGTCGCTCAACTCGCTCTTGTGCGCGAGACCGCTGATGTCGGTGCCCGCAATCTGCACAAACACGCCGTACTCTGCCGTGCCGCGGATTACTGCATCCACCTTGTC